CAGCAGGAAATAATACTTTTCTCATCCTTATAAAAATAAGGTGATTGAATTCCAGTTATGCTCCTCATTGAACATGATAAATTTTAGCAACACTAGTAGTAGCTAGGATGGTAGGAAAACACCTACTCAGTGCCTTCTCTAGAGGCACAGTGCTTAAGTATAGCTACATTGCTTACTGAATCTTCTAATTGAAATTATATATATAATTTTGTAAACAGGATAATCTATGACTGTGGAAAGCTAAATCAGTTGGTAAATAAAAAGGAGGGTCACAGCAATAGCCTTGAGGCACAGCCTTAATTTACCCTGACTATACACCTTTAACCAGCTTTCAGCATTCCTTAAAAACACACCTTTTTTCTCCCCTAGTGTTAACTGCCTAAGGGTGACTGTTATATGCCAGTAGACAGAAATTACTGCCATATAGAACAGTTGCTGCCACAGGTCACACTGCAAAGAAAGGTTCCTCTGATCGGTCAAAGCAAGATGGAAGTCTATGTATTTGGTAAGAATAGCTAATTTTGTGAAGGTCCTTCCAGGCCATTCAGGAACATTGGTGCCTCGACCAGCGTAACTCCTTTCTTCGGAAGAAGTGATATCATCAAGGCACAATTCATTACAATTACATGATTCTCTATTTGAGCACTTTCCCCACAATGCAAAATTCTGTGCAAACAGGGAAAGGACAGCTGAGAAGAAACACTTGGAATTGTTAGGGGACTAAAACTCTTACCATAACTGTTAGTGTGTATTAAACATGAGTCAAGTCCAGTTAAGTATCTGGAGAGCAGATTATTATAGCCAAAAGAGGCATGAGCTCCATAGAAATCAAATATGCCTCTGGGACTGCTTCTTGCATCCTGGCCCATACTATGACTAGTGCAACTGCTTTTGTAACAGCTTAAAATAGGAGTTTCTGTACTGGAACACGGAATCTCTTACAATTAACAAATGAGATAATATTTGGAGAGCATTCAAAGACATGTGCTCTGGTTTGGAAGGTGACCACTTAATGTAGGTGGTGAACAGGCACTGTGTTTTCATACTGGCAGGCCTAGGAGTCTGCTGTGCTTACAGGGTTTTGCATGATGTCTGCACAGGGAGAGGAACAGGTAATTGTAGCAAACATTTGTCATATCTTGGGGATAAACAAAAGAGATAAAGTTTTTTTGAAAGGGAAGGGAGGAATAAACAATGCTCATGAAGCAACGGGAATGCCTGTCGCATCTCCTAGTCAATGCCACACATGGACAGGGAAGCAATTAAACCTCACACTTTTTCTGATGTACCCACTGCCTTCCAGCTGCTTAGACACACACTGCTGGAATGCATCTTCTTCAGCAGGTGGGTGTGCAGCATTGCTTTGTGAATGCCTTTATTTTTAATCACATTTTGTATGTTATACTTTGGCACAGAATATTAGTGAGTAGGGTAGCTGAGCAGAAGGGAAGTGGGATCTTCATGGTTAACACATTATCTGTACATCTTTATTATTTTCTTTTATATGTGTATTATGCCTGTAATATAAGGGAGGGTGTAGTAAGGTACAGAGTACTTTTCAAGGCAGCATCTTCAGGGAAAGATTCAAAAACAAACCAACCCAAAATTTATGCACGTTTCCCCATAAAGATCAGGAAGTTCTCTGCTTCAAAGAGCATAAAATAGTCAGGTTTCTTCTCAGTTGCTTCCCTGCTGATTTAGTTTCAAAAAAACTGTGAAGCATCCTACCATATTATCAAGAAATCTCATTGTTTGCCCTTAGATATGAATTAATTTTCAGGGAAAGATTCAAAAACAAACCAACCCAAAATTTATGCACGTTTCCCCATGAAGATCAGGAAGTTCTCTGCTTCAAAGAGCATAAAATAGTCAGGTTTCTTCTCAGTTGCTTCCCTGCTGATTTAGTTTCAAAAAAACTGTGAAGCATCCTACCATATTATCAAGAAATCTCATTGTTTGCCCTTAGATATGAATTAATTTTCACCTAGAGATAGGGTTGCATATTTTTGTTACTTTTTTTAATAGAGCCTTCAGAAAACTGGAAAAAAAAATTGCAAAGGCTCTAGATAGCAATTTGTTCTAGCTAAGATAACCACTTACCATTATCAAACCACTTCCTGTAGCTTTATGCTAACTTGCAAATATCTTGTTAAATGGTTTTGTGTTCTTTTTATTCAGTCACATATCATAAATTAGGCTCCAAACCAAAATGATACAAAATTCATATGTGGAAGGAATTTTGCTCAGTCCTGTGCTTGACAGCTTAGGAGGTACAGGTCTACCTGGTATTTTGCTCTTAGCTGTTACCATTTTGGAGGCAGATGATGTTTAAGAACACATAGGTATTTTCAAATGAACAAATGCAACTTAACTATAAGTGTAGTTCTTTTCACATAGTAGAGATTAGGTACCTTAAGGAGGCGAAAGGCAGTCATCCAGCATGTCCTGCTTTGCTCATCTTCAGCACACAGTAACCTCAGTTCCTTAGTTTCATTTCTCACTCTGTTGGGCTATAAAGTATTAGAGGGAAGTCAGCTACATCCACTAGAAAACCAACAACACTGTAAGTTTACTGCAGAGTAAAGGCAGGTACAGTATTAGTCTGAGAAATGACCAGGAAAAGCTCACAGCACCCTGAATTAAAGCTCAGGAGAGGCTGAGCATGCTTTGAAAGAAATAACTTTCTCATCAAGATAAATGGCAGTGCTTGTTTCAAAATACCCTGCAGTTCTCTAAGTTTATAGGAACAAGGTACTCAGGTCATACTAGAACCAGAACCAAGGTGTTGAGGTGTTTTCTTCAGAACTGCGAGAAGTTTTATGAGCCCCCATTTTGAGATGAAGAAACAAAGTTTCCATACATTAGTGTTACTCAAAGTCTGCTTCCATTGGTTTAGGATCTGGCCTGCAGGAAGCTTCTACTCTCTGAGGCAAACCCACGTTTTCTGACTCCAGAACAGTTTCCAGGAAGGAGACTACTTCACTTCTGTCAATAAAAGCAGCTCCCAGCCTTATTCTCAGAAAATTACACAGAGCGTTGAAATACTTCCCAAACCTATCCATCAGCACAATGGTTCTTAAAATCCTCAAGGACAACTGCTTGTTCTTATTTCCACTTTCCAATACAATCTTCTTTAAATAAATGCAAACCTCTACCACAATAATGGTACAATTATACCCTACAGGAGCTTGATCCTTTGTTGCTGTATTGTTTTGGTGCTAGTTGACCAGAGAAACTTTCTTATGCAGTTGGAGCACTTGGAAAATTATGTTCATCTGTGAAGTGAACCAAGGCTACCTCACAGGCACACCACGCTTCAGCACTAACCTGATTTTGCACAGAAATATCCCAAGCCAAAGGAGCACCAGATAAAAGTGTTACAAGTATCATATAAAATGTTGGCAAGATTCACAGGACATGCCTGCCAAATGAAAGACGTTAAAGATCAAGTCCTCATGACAGAAACGCTTGCAGAGTTTTACATACAAATCCCGTTTAGCTACAGGCATGGGGGACTCTGAGCTACCAACACCATCTTGAACTTTGGAAGAACTTATTGAGAAATACCTTTATACAAAATCCATACTCTGCAGGTGCATTGTACAACTTCTTGCCTGCTATCAATGAGAAGATATTGCTGTCTTCTAGGTCAGCCAACAGTTGCAAATGTCTTGGCTCCTGGGGAAAGAAATACGTTTTATCAGAGGGAAGTGTAAGATTTTGGAAGATCTTGCTGCAAGCTTTGCTGTCTCTCAAAGCCAACCCCCAACAGAGGGCAGTGCATGAACACTGTGCTCCTCTCCCAGGCAGCCTGATGTGGGCATGCCGTTACCTTTTAAATGCCAGCTACTAGCAGAAGATGTTTTATACAAAAACCTGACAGAATACTTATTCAAACACATCACATTAAAAATCGAATAGCCCTTTTCATTGCTCCTAAGAAATCTGAAATTTACATAATGTAAAACAGTGTTTAAAGTACTGTTTAAGCTAAATTCATGAACCATGTGCTTGGAGAGCATTTCTCTTGCTATCCTTGTTAGCACCACTTCAGTGGCCAAATTATGTTGTCCAGCTAGTTTGCCTTTATTATATAACAATGCCATATAGTTATTTTCATGCATTGAGCCCAGGGCTTGCTTGTCATTTGATCATGGTTTGCTTATCCTTTTTTATATGATAAAAAAAGGAACACTGTGTGCAGATATTTAAAAACCAGCAAAAATTACCCACTGCAAAAGCAGAAAATGCTTTCATATGCTAGCACAGTGCAGCTTCTTTTTTTAATCTTACCTTTGAAGTTCCTTTTGTAGAACAATAAAGTCCTGATCTCCTCAAACACACATACAATTTCTTCCATGATTTCCTACCCAGCTCTTTCACATGCAAGAAACCTTGAATCTCAGGGCAGCTACTGGAGTTTAAAAAGTTCTGTTGGAGAGGAAAATGCAAATGAAGATTGTGTCCTATAGACGGATCATAAAATTGTCACTGAATTTGCAGAACAGAGAAGAAAATGGCAAATCATTTTGCTGACTTGGGGTGCAGTTCCACATCATGCTTAAACTGACCTAGATGTTTAAACTGATTTACAACCAAAATGGATATTCCTGCTCCTCCTTGTTATATCTACCTGGGTAACTCCTCCTGCCACTGGTATTTTCCAGTTCTCTATGTCACTAATTAAATCTCCAAAAGGCTACATAACCATTTCTATATATCCACATTCTTCTTGCACTTGGCCTGAAGGGACACACAAGTAACCTTATTAATTCTTAAAATAATATACTGTCACAACAATTCTGGCAACTAAACTAACTTGGAACCATTGGCCAAAATCTGCAAATTGTTCCTGAACTTCTAGAATGGTAACAGCGTATTTCAGGATTTCCCACAACAAAGTCCTATACAGCACATGCACCTGTCCAAAAACAGGTGACACACAACAGAATATTTTACTAAAAATTAAACACTAAGCAGTCAAATAAATGTCAGCAATTGTACTAGACTTGAAGATGGAAAACATTTAAGTTCTTGACATAATTAGAGGGACCACACATAGAATAATTTCATTTGCAATACATCAAAAGAAGGAGCTTGATGGATTGCTCCCTTATTACAATGGGTCAGATTTTTAAATGACTGAGGGTTTGCTGAGAAAGTTAAATGCCAACTAATGAATTCAATAGTGCAAATTAAAATGCATCACCCTAAATGCCTCTGCAATTCTTTAAAGTTATGTTTTGGTGTTATTTGCTAGACAATGCCCACAGGAAACAAAACTAAAAATCAGTGCCCCGTGTCAAAACTCTTAGTTGCATTAAAAGCTAGGGTTTTTTCCCAGTCCTCCTCCCCATCTCATCTAACAGAATGGAAAAGAACAGCTGGTTTTCCTGCTATTTGTACTTCTCAACTGTGAAAGGGAAAGACCAAAAGGAGACTATATTCTCTCTGTCCACCTTTACCAAAAGTAAACTAAGTTGCAAGATTTTTTTGCATCTCTGAGCCTGGGAAGTGGTCATGGGACAAAATGAGTGCACTGGTTCAAAAGTCAGCCGAAACTTCTTGTATTTTTACAGCCAGTGCATATTTGCAAACATGCAAAGTGATAGAAATCAAGCTAATCAGTTATTTGTATGTATATTTGCGTAATGTATTTGTGCCCTCTGCCTTATAATTTGCTTGTTATTTGTGGTACTGTCTTCAGGCATCATGGGTTTGTATTTTTAATATAGTATTCTTTTATTAAATTGTGGTTTCATTTGGCCATGTGTGCTGAATGTCCCTCACTTGAGGAAATAACCAAAAAAATAAAAGATTTAGACTACAGGGTTTAGATCAGACTGCTTAACTTCAGAGATTTAAGTGAATGAGTTACTTGGTCAGAGGGGTAGCTCACCCTTCAGCATCACCTTTGGAGGCCAACCAACCACCACCATAGTTCCTGCATGAGCAAGCAAGAAACTGTACAGTGACATCAAAACTTCAGTATAAACTCAGTGCATGTGCCACTGCCATGCAGACTACACAGCTCTACCAACATCTATGCATAAGATACACATCCCTGTAATTTAACTTGGGGAGCTTTAAGTGGGATTACTTTGCAAATCATACCATTTTCTGTAACTGCATGTACTACTTAGGGAATTAATTTTCTATATAGAACAGCAACTAGTTGTCTGAACCATGGGGAAGTTGGTCCTTATTGTTGATTCTCGCCAGGCACATACATGGGACATACAAAGTAAAAGCAAAACCTCTCACTACCTCAAGCCCATCTTCTAATGTACACATGGATTTTTACACTTTCCCCTATGCTATGACGTGGAATATAGAAGAGTACTTCTGTTTTGATTTTTATAAGGTGTATTTGTTTTTCTACAAATATGTCTGCTGAGATTGTTTTAGGAGTAACACTAGGTGGCCAAACCAGGTACCCACAGAGTAAGGAATATTCATGGAACAAATATGTATGAACATCAGCTATGAATACTTTTGTGTTTATAACTTAAACCTTAATGCCACTGGGTAAGATCTTTGTCAGGTATTTTCAATATTAGTACAATATGTTAACCCACTACAATGGTCCTTCTCCAAACAGCTATTTCCAGACCTTTGAATTCCCTCTTCCTTTCCCTCAACCTTTCCCCTCCAGCTCCAAAATTGTTTGTCCATACAGTACTTACAGTACCTGCAAAAGTTGTGACTGTGGGATACTGCCATTTGTTTGCTGGCACCAGGCAACCATTTGCTCTGGAAAGAAATTCTAGACACAAAAAGAAGACAATTGAAAGTCACATTATATTTGAACACTTTTACATAGAAAAAGTGGAATTTTCTTCCAGTTATTAATTTTCTGAAACTATCACTCTTAAATCAATCTAGAGATCCCCTGACACAGAAAGTAATACCAGGGCTTTCAAGTGCAGTTCTTCCCTTCTTCTGCTCACCAAACGCCGATGCAGACAGAATGTAGATTTTTAAAATACCTAATTTGCAGCATTTCGTAAGTGCATTTTCCCATCACTTCCTCTTCTACTGAGGGCTTTCAGGAATCTCTAACAGTCTCTGCTTCCTAGGAAAGGACTGGATGAATGGTCCTGCAGGTTGGATATGCAGTGACTCCTTGCTACTGGCGTATTTTGCCACCAAATGTCTGGGCTTCCCTCTCTGTCCAGAAAGACTGTTCAGCAAGCAAACTCTCTGTAACTTCACTTGCCATACGGAAGATGCAGAGTAGAACGAACAACAAGTTTTCTCTACCCTCACAGGGCTAAACCAGATGCTAATGCATTAAAAGAATTCTCAGGTGGGGTCCTGCATGACCTGCAGTATGTACACCTTTACCTTTGATAGCACTCTATCCAAAATACAGTTCTTTGGTGCTATATCTGCTTGACCCTAAAACCTGCTTAGTCCCTCAGAAGGCTCTAAAGCAAGTGCCATTCACAGACCTTAACTATGAAAAGAGCTCACATGTGACTCTTGATGCTTTGATTTGGTTGCTCAACAGCCAGGTTTATGCTCTTGTCCCCCCCATCCTGCGATGGCAAGTATTGTTAAACGTGCTTCTACAGAGCTTTTTTATTTCAGGCATCCAGTAAATAATCTCATTTACACTGAATCTTTGCATGACAAGGATCAGACAGTTTTCTGACTTCTGAATCGATGATTTGACTTCAGATTTACTCCTCTGGTTCCCCTTTTAATTTGCCATGTTTTAAAATGCCTATGTAATTTGGTACACTGAGCTTACTATCCACAGCAATTATGTTAAGTCATTCCTGAAGTCTTTAAACATTATTTGAAGCATGAGGACATGCAAAAATTCCTGGAATAAAACAGCGACTGATTATAACAAGATGAATCACATAAAAAACATTTCTAGTTTAGAATGTTTGCCATTCTTCAGACAATATAAATTTCAGTCTTTTGGGCATAAAGAGAAGGGCTGAAGAGGAATCACCCTTCTGCCAGGTAAGTTTCACAAAGAATTATGAAAGCTAACATTTACCAGCCTCTCTTGAGCAGAAACAGTGCCATATGGCAACAGCTAATGCAACGGATAGGGAGCCTTCACATTCTTACACCACAAGAATGATTTATTCTTTGATTGCAGGAGTCTGGGACTGAATGCCAAGCATTCTGGGTTTTACTCCCATGCTCTGTTATTAATTAAAGTATACCACATGAAACCAATGTGCTAGCTCCTATGATACCAAAATTTCTCTACAACACTCAGATGTTCATAGGTTATCAGATGGGGAGATCAACAGAAGTGAAAAATTACTAACACTCCATGTAGAGAAATGTTTCATGCAGTAAGACAAGGCACAGCCTCTGAAACAAGCACTAGCAGATGACAAACGTACGTGCAAGCACACGTGCGAGGCTGCAGCAACTGTGCATTAGCATCTATGAGGAGAGGAACGAATTTATCATCCACGCTAACTCCAGAAATGAGTTTTCATGTGCCCTCGTGTTTTATTTCTTTTGGCACCACGGATGCCTGACTGGCCTAAAATCTGTTCTCACCTAAACCCCCTCTTGATTATCCTTCTTCAGCTATCTAGATGGATCACACCAGCTGACACCGGCTCATGCCAACAGCCCATTCCAACTTAATTGTTTGGATTAAAATGTGAAATATCATCCCCAAATCAGCAATTACATGGCAAACAATTTAAAACTACAACTTTCAAAGGATTGTACAAATGCAGGAGTAAGTACAGCTATGACATGCAAGACTTCTCAAGCACAAATATATACACGAGGACAGAGAGGGTGAGTTATTGCGGTCAGTAAAGAAGGCAGAACACACTAGTAAAGCACAGCCATAGGTGAGACACTGTTCAGCATATATAATAAACTGAAAATTCCTTGTATGCAGTAAGTGCTTTAGGGGTTACTCAGAAAGAGTTACTGTCAGAGATGAAAAAGGTTTGAATACTGCACACTATGTGATCAATTTGTTTCAGATCAAGTAACTTTGAAGATAATGAGTAAATTGCACTTCTGATTGTTTTTCTTAAACCAAGAAAGATTTCCCAGACTTGGTCACTTTCCAACATAACAATAGCCATTTTGAAACAAGTATATTTGGTAACTTGAAAATACTTGAGGTTTTTAGGCTGGGAGGAGAGTGCAAAGAATTTAAACACTGGTTAAAATTTCTTTGGAAAGAATTCTGCTTTTTGTTTGGTTTTGTTTTCTTTTTATAGATGTTTAAGACATTAAAGTGCTCAACAATGTTATTGCAATCCACCCCTCTGTGGTGTAAACAACTAAGTAATGAGACTCACCATGGGATTTTTGAAAAATTCGTATTTTGCGTAATTCTTCCTGAACAAAAATTTACTTTCACTTCCCATTGTGGACTCAACTTGAACTATGAGCTCATGATCTTCCAAGCACCTCTCTGTGGAAAAAGAAAATTATGTTAAACACACAGACAATTAGCAGGAGCAGTGAGACCAGTTTCCAAAGAACAGAAACAACCCAGTGTCATTCCGTTACCTTTAAAGAAGTTATCAAGAAGTATTACAGCTTTCAAGCCTTACTGCAATGAGGCATTTAAAGGAACTAGGGCATAAGTATTACAAATTTGAATCTGACGTGGCAGTGTTCTTCAAAGATTTCCTACATCAGCACTTCACAAGTAGAGACTTTTAAGAAATATAAGAACAATTTGTGTGTGTGTGCAGTAGCTTAAACAATACACGGGAAACTTATTTTGGTGCTGGCTATATTCTGTGTAACTGGTAAGGTGGACAGATTAAAGGAGAAAAAAGTTCTGGAAAAGCCACCGTTAGGTCTTGAACTATCAGAGAAATACAGTGTCCTATTTGATCACACTCTATAAAATCAGTTCATTTCCAGGTGAACTTCAGGCCTTTATTGTAGATGCCAGACAATGGGGTTTATTATGAAAGAGGTCACAGGATCTACTTTACAGAAATACTGACAAAGACAAATGTTTTGTACACATGACAGGGCAATTTTCTGCTCTAGATTTGGTTACAAGGTAACTCCTCATAACCACCACTTCTCTGGTCAAAAGAATGGCACATCAAAGCATGAGCAGATAGCTTAACAAATCCAGTTCACTGAAAGCAGTAACTCAAAAGAAGGCGACTGGGCTAAGTGTGCACTACTTAATGAATTCATTATCTTGGCAAATCTTCAGAAGTTTCTGAGAAAATATTGAGATATTTCTCAAAAGTCTTAAGAATCAGTATCTTCATCCCTTATGTAACAGGAAATAAAATTTTTAAAAAGGTAAAACAAAAAATAACTTTCATAGAGCTCTATCCAAAATGCATGTGACATGCTGGCCAAAGAAGTTTGGAGAGGCTCTTTCACACTTGCTGTTCTGCATCCTCACATTCCCATGGTTAGAAACGCTAGGCTGACACCCATATTCTCTTGGGGTTTTTTCAAGATAGAAAGCAAGAAGTCATTGGTATCCTAAGAAGGAGCAAGCTCTTGAATGTCACTTGAAATATTAAACTTAGTAGATTAATGTAAAATCTTTGAAAATGTAACATATCTCTGAACAATCCCATTGTCTTTTTTTTTTAACCTGCATTTAAGGCTGTCAGTCATCACCAGCATTTATGCTGCATTTGCAGTGTCCAGCCTTGCCATAGATTTTGTTACAAGGTGTTAAAATTGAAGATTTTCCATACTGGGCTGCTCTCAAGTAAAGAGCTGCTTCTTAGTGCATTAGCCATAACACCCCTTTTAAAGGGCAGTTCTCTGGACTAATGTACACAACAATACTGCTGTTGGCAGCAGTTAATTAACGACATTTTGCACCACCTGAGCATTAATTACCTAAACTTCCACACTGTCTAGGGGTTTCACAGATGAAGTTTGAAGTATTGTTGCTGATCTACTGCTACTATCCTTTTTTTAGGCAACTCCTTACATCAAATCTCCGTATTGTAATGAGGATGGTAAATATATGAGGATGGAGGGCCTTTCTGTTTTGTAAAGTCTGCTTCCTCCAAAAAACACTGAATTACATTGGTATGAATCTTCATCACAGTCTGAACCCTGAAAGACCATGTGTCCTGCTAATGCCTGCTTCTGTCATCACACAAAGCTTCAGTCTTCACTCTTCTAACCACTGAAGAATGCTTGCCTAAGGGCAGGGACAAATCAGGTCCTGTTCTTTCTATCCTGAGGAAATGCAATGTAGATGAACATTGTCTATTTGTTTTGTATTTTGATCATTAGGGTTTTTTTTAAATATACCCAGTGACTGTTTCTTAGATCTTTTAGGCAACTGACCTAGACGCATTTCTTCACTAAACCAACACTCTTCTAAGTTTCTGTGGTGATACGTCTGCTGATTTAATGTTTACATTTTCATTGTGATGGTAAAAACTATCTTGAAGTAAAGGTACAGCAGCATGTCATAGCACATATATGTAAAAAGGAAGCTAGTCCTGGTCAGTTTGCTACTACTTCGTAAGAGTCACACACTTGGGGAGTCCTTGGTAATTTGCACTGGGTTAGTACAAATGGGATGAACTGCCACTTGACACACCAACTCAACCTCAACCCTGCTTTGAGCTTCCTGCTACAAAACTAGAAGCACAGACATCAGTCTTTTAAGTTCAATACATCAGTCTGTCTTCAAGTGGCATTGCAGCTGAAGTGACAAGAAATGTCTCCTTTTAGTTCATCTGACAGGCTCAACTCAGTCTCCTCTAGACGCTTCCTAGAAGAGGACAGAGGAGAGAGGTTCTGTGTCTTGGGGGTTTTTTTGTTAGTTGGGGTTTTTTTGCCAGAATTGCACTGTATTATTATCTGAATTTCTACAGAGCTGGAAGCTGTATGAGGTGGGAAAAGGAGCTGGATTCAACTGTGAAGAACTTGCAGGCGTGGCACAAAATTCCCAATTAGAGAATCACTTCAAATGACAGGTGGACTGAAGTGTGAAATAGCCTGCCGTTTCTGTATTTTTGCAAGTGCTGTGTCTAACTGTTCCACATTTAATTTGTTCAGATTAAGGCAAATCAAATGCAATGCACAAATATACAAGAAATTATATGCGCAAGACTATGCAGCAATTCCTTCTTCCAACCCTGTATTTCAGAGCTTTACCACTTGTCTTCCCTGCATCAAGTATATTAAATAAGATGTATAGTCAATTGTGGAGTGGGAAAAATGAGGTTTGTAGGTAGGGATTCTTTCAGTATCCAGACACATAGTCTGTCTTCATAATTATTATTATTATTATTATTCCTGTTAATGTCCAAGACAAATATCTCATTTCCCATCCTAAATTGATAATAGTTAAGTATGGAGTAGCACACAGAGAGCATACTACATGTTATGGGCAGATTAGGTGTATTTCTAGTTGCAAAGGAAATGATGGTATCAATTCAAGTTTCAAAGACTGCTTAAGTCTTGACTACAAAGTTGTTTAGATACTAGTGGTACAGTGTAGTTGGAACCATTTCCACAAGTTACATCTAAGCAAGTCTGATGGTAAATTGTCACACCATTGTCTCCAAAAGAACACAAATACTTTGTGCAGTCCAATAGCTGTTTGAAGTTACTTGCAAGCACATGTGTTATTTGGAATATACTTGACTACATGTGTAAAGTAGCAGTCAGTGAAGGTTCCCTAAAAAACTGGCACCTAGAAGATCACCACAACGATAAATGCACAGCTGGCTTCAAAAATTTGCTGTTGTCCTCAGTCTGCCAGAATAGAACTGGTTCTGCAAACTGAGCTCTTTTGGAAAGTAATGTTAGGCAAGACCAGGGAAATAAAAAAGATCATTAACTTAATGAAAGAACTTGCCTCTTTCAGTGGGCTTCAAGTTTACCACCTACAGCATTAATTCAAATCAAGGATTTCTTGAGTGAGAAAGAATAACTTCTGAAAATGTAGAAAACTCACTGCTCTTAAACCGTATTTCTTTCCACAGTGCTAAGTATCTATTTGCCATTGTTCCATACTTATACTAGCAAACTTACTGCTGGAGAGCAGAATATGGAACATCAGACACCTGCTAATAACTTCACCTACAGTGCAGACAGATTACTACCTTGATCTGACAGGTCCCTGCAACACAGGGAAGCACTTCAGCTGATGAGAAGCTGAAAATAAGCAGATATAAAACAACAACAACAAAAAAAAATCAAACTGCAACCAGAACTGGGTAGATGCATGAAGTTGGTTCAAGTTTATTGACTATGTCACAGTGTATACTTTGGTCCCCAAATACACGAAGTTGGACATTGTTGTCTCCTGTTAAATGATCTCCTTTTTCCCCTTTTCTGTCCTCATCCTTTTAAATATGTGAAATCTGTATCGTTGCATCTTTCTGATGCTTTAAATAGTTCTTTGTTCCCATTACACCCTGAAAGGCTGCAATACTTTGCACACAGATCTATTGCTTGGCCTACAGAGAACAGCCTGGAGCAGTCCCTGCGGAACCAAGTGGGGTGGCTGCTTAAACTCCAACCTGCACACCCCAGTTTCTCTGGGACAGCCTGGGCCCCGCTTTGTGCTTCAGTGTGAAACAGAGGTCCAAGGCAGGCAGGTCCCCACGTATATAAATGCAGCCCGATAAGTATCTTGCTCTTTTCCCATCATTGTTAATTACCAAGTTATTTGTGTGTAAACAGAAGCTTTTGATTTCCTAATCAGCCTCCTGCCCGATTCATTCAGAGATGTCACACACCAGAGTTTGACAGCACAATTAGTCACCATGGAAGCTATTGTGATGTCACAAACACTGAATTGTGGCATCATTGAATGAATCTGGCAGGAGAAGGATGTTGGTTACAAAGGAGAAGGCTTCTGTTTACACAATACCTTGGTAATCAGCAATGATGGGAAAGAGAATATAGAAAAAGGGAGCCTGGTAGTTTAATGAGCATTGATAAAACTGAAAATGTGTAAAGGTTGTTAGAAACTCACATGTGGCATATTAAGCTATGGAGATAAAGATTCTGTAATTTATACCTTAATTCTTCACCTTGTCCTACGTCCTCAAAACTGAAAGTGTATCACAGGCATATACAAGTAAGTGTTTCCTGTTAACTTTCTCACATATTTGTATATTAGGAGAGATAACAAATAAAAATAATCGGGATGTTCCATGAATATTTTTTAAAGTGCTATACTATAGAGCAATGAATTTATCTGTGTTTAACAGTACTGGTTTAGGGCTCTACATCTCCAGCAAATTGTTTTCTTTTTTTTTTTTTTTGGTAAGGGTTCTGTACTACATTTTCAGACATAAAAAACCCTCTTGTTATCTACAGATAGCATTCACATTTTCAGTGAAGGTGATCACCGCTTATGATTTGTCTGTTTTCTAGCAAAATATTCCCTGTGAAATGTATCAGCTAATACTCCAAATGCTACTTTCTACAGCGTTATTGTATACCACATAGAATTACAGATAGCCTATCTGAGCAATATGCAGTTGCAGGCTGCTCAGCAGAACCCTGCAACTAATCAGTGCCACAAAATAACTGGAAAACCAAGAGTGAATAACATGAGATCCTTTCAGGTACTGTAATTAAACCAATTCATGGTGTTATTTAATTCCCCACCGTTCTTCCTCTTGCTGCCTTCTTGAAACTGTAACCATGACACCTTAATTTCAATCAGGTGGAAGAGCTGCTGCCTGGAGAGCAGATGCCACTGCTGGTCCAGAAATTGCCCATGGATTTGTGGGTGGTGCCACCATTTTTTTCCTTGCCTGAAGTCAAGTTTAGCCGACCCCCTCCCCCACCTCAGCATGTCTAGCTTTCATAAGCATTACTGTAGGTATGTAAAGCTGAGTCTCTTCAGCCAGGTCTTCCAGCTGGTGATGAGCTGAGCTGTTTCACAGGACCAGTACTCTAAGGATCAAGCTTAATTTGCCTAAGCTGGTTATTTGCAATAGCTTCAGACACTGCAAGGTTTCAAGAGCACTAGCATGAAGATTAGACAATTATTTTTCTTTTTTTACAATAAAAAAACAGAGGGTGAGAAATAAGAGAAGGACTTAAAATGGCTTAAACGCTTAACACATCAAATTGTAATACACAGAAAGCACATATGTGACCAGCTATTTGTACAAATAAGAGCAGGGGAAAGAAAACGCTCCAGATGGAAGTACATTAATACGATTTACACATATTTTATTTTCCCAGGTAACCATGCCACCCCTTTGACCGTTCCCTACCTAATCCTAGGTGAGGGTGATGCTCCACTAGAGTCCAGCTGTTATCATCCACACAATGACTTTTGTAAACGAGCAGCTGACAGAGGTCCCTGGCTGTCATGTCTGCTAGAATCTCGACCACTTTGCTTGTTCCATCTTCACTAAAGACTTTTACATCCTGCAACATAAAGGGTACACTTACAGATCAACAGCTCTGAACATAGGCAAACCACACAGCTACTGTAGAAAAGCATCCTCTTGGCGTGAGGGTTCCAAGCACCTTGGCAGTCAGGACAAATCACATGGATGATTCACTTTAGAACACTTTATCTCAATGCCCCCTCGCCCTATTTCCCCTCCCCCCCTCCCCAACACCTCCCTGCACTAAACAAAGATTAAGCAGGGTTAATAAGACCACATATACAGAAAACGTAAGAGAGCAGGTTCTGTATGAAGACGTGTTAAGGTAAGCAAACATGGAACAGTACCGAGAGAGCACTTCAGCAGCAGTGGGCAAGAGAAATCACATCCAGTCCAACACACACAATTTTCTTTGCGATCCCGTCGGGCGCCTCCGAATCTGTGCCGAGGAGCAGGCCAAGACCCTCAAGATTAAAAATGGGCTCTCTCGTTCCCCACTAACTTCTGACTGTTTCCCTGCGGGAAGTCCCACTCGCAGCTCGCCAGTGGATCAATGAGCTAGCACAGTCCACACATTTCTTTCTCTCCCTGCCCCAGCTTCTCTTTTGATCCCAGCCTGAAAGTAGCTCAAAACCAAATGTGCACACGCTGCACGTCCTAAATATTAATGGAGATGAGAGAACAAGTCAGGAACCTTCTCCCCACCTCCTGAATTACACAGACGCTTCTGCTCTTTGCATTGTTCTGCCCAAGCAAGAGGCACTTGCCGCAGAATTATTTCCGCGGGCGGGCGAGCGGGTCCGAGCTCCGAGCCAACTCCGCGTCCCTGTTCTGCAGCCGGAGGAGCCGAATCTAACAAAACCCAATTCCATATGGGGGGGAAAAA